CGGCGGGCGGCGGGAGGGGCGGCGCCCCAGCACATTCTGTGTGGGCTTCCCGGAGAGCACGCGGGCGTGGGCGGTCCCGCTGAGAGTCCCTTTGCGCCTGAGTACGACAGACCTCCGGAGCCTCTGCGTCTGAAGTCCTATCCTAAACGCTGGACCTCGCAGCCATGTCAGCCCCAAGGGAGGTGGCGATCGGCATCGATCTCGGGCGTGGGCGTGTGGCAAGGTGGGAATCCTCCTCGCCGACGACCGGGGCAGCCGCACCACGCTCAGCTACGTGGCCTTCACGAACACCGAACGGCTGGTGGGCGACGCCGCAGGAGTCAAACTTACCTGAACGCGCACAACACCGTGTTTGACTCCAAACGGCTGATAGGGCGCATGTTCTCGGAAGCGACGGTGCAGTCGGACGTAAAGCATTGGCCTTTCCAGGTGGTGAGCGAGGGTGGCGAGCCCCAGGTGCGCGTGTCCCACCGCGGGGAGGACAAGGCGTTCTACCCCGAGGAGATCTCGTCCATGGTGCTGAGCAAGATGAAGGAGACGGCCAGCCTGTGAGTGATCACGGTGCCTGCCTACTTCAACGACTCGCAGCGCCAGGCTCCCAAAGACCAGGGTGCCATCGCCGGGCTCAACGTGCTGCGGATGATCAGTGAGCCCGCTGAGGCTGCCATTGCCAATGGGCTGGACCGGCTTGGGGCAGGAGAGCCAGTGTGCTTATTTCTAACCTTGGTGGAGGCACTTTTGATGTGTCGATCCTCACTGTCGACCCTGGAGTCTTCGAGGTAAAGGCCACAGCCGGAGACACTCACCTGGGTGGAGAGGACTTCGACAACCAGCTGACGAACCACTTTGTGGAGGAGTTTTGGTGGAAGCATGGAAAGGATATGAGCCGTAACAAATCGGCCCTTCGACGATTGCGCACGGCCTGTGAGAGCGCCAAGTGCACCCTGCCCTCCAGCACCCAGGCCACTCTGGAGATTGACTCCCTGTTCGAAGGCACGGACTTCTACACAACCATCACTCGTGCCCGCTTTGAGGAACTGTGCTCGGACCTCTCCGCAGCACCCTGGAGCCTGTGGAGAAGACCCTGAAGGATGCCAAGCTGGGCAAGGCCCAGGTCCATGACGTCATCACGGTGGGTGGTTCCACCCGCATCCCTAAGGTGCAGAAGCTATTGCAGGATTTCTTCAGTGGCAAAGAGCTGAACAGGACCATTCATCCTGATGAGGCTGTGGCCTATGGGGCTGCTGTGCAAGTGGCCGTGTTGATTGGGGACAAGGGTGAGAAAGTACAAGATCTTCTGCTGCTGGGTGTGGCTCCCCTGCCATTAGGGCTGGAGACAGCAGGCGGGGTGATGACCACAATAATCCAGAGGAATGCTACCATTCCCACCAAGCAGACTCAGACTTTTACCACCTACTCTGGCAACCAGCCTGGGGTCTTAATCCAGGTGTTTGAGGGCGAGAGGGCCATGACCAAGGACAACAATCTGCTGGGGCGTTTTGAGCTCGGTGGCATCCCTCCTACCCCAGGTGGAGTCCCTCAGATAGAGGTGACTTTTGACATCGATGCCAATGGCATCCTTAGTGTGACAGCCACTGACAGGAGCACGGGCAAGGCCAACAAGATCGTCATCACCAATGACAAGGGCCGGCTGAGCAAGAGGAAGTGAAGAGAATGGTTCATGAGGCTGCACAGCACAAGGCTGAGGATGAGGCCCAGAGGGACAGGGTGGCTGCTGAAAACTCCCTGGAGGCTCATGTGTTCCATGTAAAGGACTCCTTGCAAGAGGAAAGTCTTAGGGACAAGATCCCAGGAGAAGACAGGCGCAAAGTGCAAGACAAGTGTCAGGAAGTCCTTGCCTGGCTGGAGCACAACCAGTTGGCAGAGAAGGAGGAATATGAGTATCAGAAGAAGGAACTAGAGCAAATCTGCTGCCCCGTCTTTTCTAGGCTCTCTGGAGGGTCTAGTGTTCCTGGAGCCAGCAGCTGTGGGGCTCAAGCCTGCCAGGGGAGGCCCAGTACCGGCCACCTCATTGAGGAAGTCAATTGAATGACTCCTTAATGTAAGTCTGCTATTACTGTAAAGACTTGGGCCTTTGGGCCTTCTAGGGTATCTTCTATGATTCTGTCCTGTAACATCGGGGGTTCTGAGGTGACAGGTATCTTCCCCCTAAAGCTGAGCGCTTTCTTCACAGTATGTTGTATAACCAAGGTCTTTGTCATTTTGACATTTTGAAAAAATTCCTCTTCTTCAATTTCATACAAACAGAAGTCATTGATTTATTGTTAACATTTGTGTGGCACTTTAACATTGCTTTGTTATACAATTTATATTTTTTTACTTGCATGTGTGGATTTTATTATGTGAAATATAGTTGTACATGTACATAAACTTGAACACCTCCTTCCTGGTTTTCATTCCAGTCAATTAAGTGTGTAATGAGGCTCACCTTTTAGAAGCAGAAAATGTTTCAGCAGGTGCTGAAGGAGGAACATGAGAAAATTCATAAGGCTGCATACAAATTTCCTGTAGGAGAAAACAAGATAAGGCAGTTTGAGGTAGACACATTCAATCAGTACTGCAGTGTGAGGGGTGTTAGGACTTACAGTGCAGGAAAACAGAGGGAGATAGGTGGAGTTGAAAAGCAGAGAATAGAGAGAAATTTAAATACTGGCAAGTTTCCTGTGTGGGATCATAAGATAAGAATTCTATGTTGGGAGATTAGTTTGTTAGTCTGTATACTAATAACACAGACAGTTTACATAATTGTTAACTGTTTCTAAGCATGTCATTTTACCCATTGCTATTTTGGACACAAGAGTCCCAAATGGATTTTGGGAATAGTATATGCTAGAGTAGGTCAGTGAATGTGATTGAAGTTTCTGTTGGTTGACCTTGTTGATGTGAGAGGAATAGCATGCTGCCACCTGATTTCTGCTGATGGCTGTAGGAGCAGAGCAACAACAACAGTGGTGTAGCATAGTGGCTGCCTGCATTGGACCCAGAATGCACAGGTTTTCAACTCTATCACACTGAATACTGTACTGTGCAAATGAAATTCTCCCGACTTCAATGTACCCGTGCATGTACTGAGATGACAACAGTATCTACCTCAATATTATCGCGAGAATTCAATTAAAATATGTAAGAGGCAAAGAATGCTAAGCATTTATGCTATCAAGAAATATTAGCTATTACTAATTATTAGTTGAGCATCAAGTTGTGTTACTTGACATACACAATTTAATCCTCACAGCAGCATTACAGGGTAGTTATCTTTTTTTTTTTTGGATGAAGATTCTGAAGTTTAAACAGGTTAAACAATTTACTCAAGGGCCGGGGATTTAGCTCAGTGGTTTGGTGGCCTGCCTTACAAGCGCAAGGACCTGAGTTTAATCCCTGTACCAAAAAACAAACAAACAAACAATTTACTCAAGATTGCATAAACTATTAAATGTAGACAGGAAAAGTTGAAATTGAGAATGTGGTTTTTCCTGACTAAATTCCAAGCATGGCACCTCACAAACAGACCATAACTCTATGTATTACTACACCTTCCTCCAGATACTGTGAAGTTGACAGATTATGCATTTAGAATATAACTGACTGCTGAGCCATAAGGGAAAGACTATTTATTTTATTGTATGCTTACACTGCTAAGTGAACTTTTGTGTATATTTTTATAGCAAATGACTGAACCTGGGGGATATCCAGAGACTCACCTATACTGTCAAGTAAATGACAATATAGCAGCAAAGATAAACTGGGTGAGTTAATTTCCAGTCAACCCGATCCATTCTGTATCTGTCATAAACAGTGGGAATTTTATTTTAAACTCAGAAATGACAGTAGGCTTGGCTAGAGTAATGGTAAACTATATTTAGCTTAGATGGTCTCTTGCAAGTAGAGAGAAGTTTACACTAATAATCCACTTGTCCCTGGATGTGATTTCACATTTTTAACTGCCCTCTTTTTTTGTGCCTGGCTCAAGTCCTAGTCAACCTGGCTTCATGTGAAGGAACCTGAAAAAACAAAACAAAACAGAAAGACAGAAGAAACAAAGGCAAGAAAACTGCAAGTTCAAGCCCAGCCTGAGCAATTTATCATGAATTTGTTTCAAAAATTTAAAAGGCAGAGCATATACCTGTGTGAAGGCCCTGGGTTTAATCCCCAGTACTTGGCAGGGGAGAGGTATGGGTGCAAGGGGGTAAGGGAGGTGGAGGTGCATGGGGGGAGCATAGAGGTGAGTTACATAACCGCCCTGTGTTACATTCTTGTTTTCCTAATTTTTTTTCAACTTCCAGCATTGATCATCTCAACCTATTTGTACTTCTCTCTCAAGAGGAATGATTATAGTTATATCTATGGAGTTTCTTACCATTCCCACAACATGCCTTTATCGTTTTTTTTTAAATGTTAAAAACACATTTTATTGTGCTTAATAGTTGCGAAAATACTTCGTATCTCCCCAGTTGGGTGGTATCTAATTTTCTATAGGGAGATTTAAGTAAATTAATCACTTCTACTTTTCAATGATTGCTGTTGGTAATTTTGGTTTAGTTTCTTTGAGATTTGTATCTTTTAATAAGAGGCATCTAAAATTTCTTATTGTCAGTTGTGGTGATGCAACCTATAGTCCCAGCATTCTGGGAGGCTGAAGTAGGAGGATTACAACTTGAGCCAATTGGGCAATTTAGGGAGACTTTGTCTCAGTCCAGGCTGGCCTTGAATTCACAGCAATAATCTTGTCTCCCAAGTGCTGGGATTGCAAGTGTGCCTCACCATGCCTGGCTCAAAATTTTGAAATGTTGAAAAGGTCTAGAGATGTAGCTCAGTGTGAAGGCCTAAATTCAATCCCAGGACCCTTCCCCTCAACCTGTATGTTGATTATTGTAATCACAACTATGTCACCCATTTTTTTCCCAAAACAATTTTAATAAGCTAAACCAAATATATATCCATTATTTAAAAATATCAAACCTTGTGGTAAGCATTTTCTTGCCCCATCCCCAATTCCTATGCATTGCAAGCAACCACTTTCAAATATAAAAAATGGAAATAGCTAAATGATACTAAATAAAAGGCCTGCTGAGAAGCAAGGAAAAGGGGTTCCAGGTTAAAGATCAAGCTGTAAAAAAACACTTAGATTATTATCAAGGCAGTTCTGAAATGTAATATTCATTTGAATCACCTGGCTTTTGTAAAAGGCAGATTCGGTAGATCTTAGAAATTTAGATTTCAGGCTCTACCTCACAGCAAGGCTTTTTACATATCCAGCTTCTCCCAAATCATAAAGTGATTTGAGATCTACAAAAATAATTTCTCAAAGCAACCAGTTTCATGAATTTATTTTCCCCATCACTTTTCTCCATTTGAACTGTTGGTTTCTTTTCCTGGTGTGAAAAAGAAAACGTACAAGATTAGAATTGAGGTGGGGGTGGGTTTGTCAAGAAAGTGGATGGGGTCTGTCCTGATCACCAAAGCTTGAAACCATTGTCTTAGCACGAAAAGATTCGGAGTAATTACAGAAAATCAAGGGTCCTTGGATCGAAGGCTTTCTCTTGTTTAATCAAAGGCTGATAACTTCCTGTCTCAGTGTGCTTGGCATATAGAAAGGGTTCAATACAGTGGGCCCTTGATTTATGAATTCAATCGGTTCCCAAGGTGTGGTTGTAACTCAAGTTGGTTGTTAAGTCAGTACAGCTGAGATCTGAATGTTTACCTGGGTACACTCTATAGATAACAAGAGGCAGATGAATCTTCCATTATCCTAATTAACCCAAGTTGCTCAAATGTCAGGCTAGTTGTAACTTGAGGGTCCACTGTACTTTGTCAGATAAAAGATTAGATAAATAGGCACCAAGAAATTGGAGTCTAAAGTAAAAAATTGTATTCTTTCATAAGAAAAGATCTTAGCTTCGACTGCGTATTTTTAACCCAACATTTACAGTAGTGTGTAACAATCTTCTTCTAGGCACATATCCGGATATTAAATAAAAGTATCAATGCTTCCTTTTTTTCTAAGGGTTGTTATCCTGGGAAAAGAATCCTATTGTCAGAAGTGGGATTCGAACCCACGCCTCCAGGGGAGACTGCGACCTGAACGCAGCGCCTTAGACCGCTCGGCCATCCTGACATGTGCTGCGCTTTCCTTTTTACTTTCTTTTCAGTTGTTCACAAACTGATGGTGCACAATGTGAAATTACACCAATGTATTTAATGTTTATTGTTTCAACTAAAAAAACTCCTCCTGATCCTATTTGCAAAACAAGAAAATAGAAATGTCATGGATAGCTGATTCCTATCTCTTATTTTTTCATCATCTGAAACCTTGCAGGTCCATATCCTCTAGCGTTGCTTCGCGCACTCCTCTCCTTTGAGAAGCCGAGCTAGGTGTTGGTGGATCTCGTACTGGCACGTTACCCTCTCACCAAAGTCGGAATTCGACACCCAGGGGATCCAAACGGGGCGACGCGAAGCTGATAGTGTCTGGCTGTTAGGGAAGCAGGGATGACAAGTGGGGAGGAAATATCCCTTGCGGAGCTAAACTGGCGCTTTTTTTCAGACACCCCGTGGTCCTGGCTTTCAGGTTCCCAGCAACTGGAGACTTTAACAATCCTATCATGAAATTATAAGTCTATCACCAGCAGTAAATTCATTATCCTTAACTTTATGTATATAATTCCAGAAGTGACTTGCAGGAAGCGTTGGTGGTATAGTGGTGAGCATAGCTGCCTTCCAAGCAGTTGACCCGGGTTCGATTCCCGGCCAACGCAGTGCATTTGCATGTAATTTTTCCTCCCTACTTTAGAGTGCCTGACCAGAACCACAGGTGGGGCAAGCACTTAGTTTAGTTCACACTTGAAAGAAAACGGAAACTGCAACTTTACCTCACTCTTTTTTCTACTTTCAGTTTTGCCTATGGAGCTCTTTCTCTGCCCAGACCTGTTTTGACAGGATTCGATTTTGAAGCTTTTATTTCCTTCCTTTCCTTCTTTTTATTATTTTTTTTCTTTTGAAACTTTCAACACTTGAAGAATCTTAGGGATTTTCCAGGTTCTGTGATCTCTTGCCTGAGTCTCAGCTTCTTGTATTTTTATCTGAAAGGTTCATAGGCAGCCACAACTACTGAACACTTGAAATTGTCAGTTGAGTCTAAATGTAGTGCATTTTCAAATTTAAATATAATTTGTGAATCAATTGAAATAAATACATGAAGTGAAATTATTAAATAACTGGAAGTTTGTGAACGGAT